TTACTCTTAATGCAACTGGAAGCAATTACGTCATGAGCACGTGGTAGTCATGGGACTTTAAGTTTAGGAATTTCTTCTCTGGCACATTTATTATACCCTTTATATTCGAGGAGAATCTAGATGGTACCTTGATGCTTGCTAGGCATTCAAACATGCTTTCCTTCTCTTCTTTGCTAAGAGTGTAGCTGGCAGGACTTAAGTATTGGCGTCCATCATCTGTCTTCTCTGGATGTAGGTTGTCTCGTTCTTTGAAACACCACAGGTCCTGTCGTGCTTTAAGTGTGTCCTTAGGCTTCCCATACACACCCATGAAGCCTAGCAGGTTCACACAAAGATTCTTCGTCAGGTGCATCACGTCGATCGCGCTACGAACCTCTAGGACTTGCCAATAGGGTAGCTCCCAAAATATGGACTTCTTCCACATGGGTGCGTGACCGTCGGCGTCGTTCGAAACAGGTTCACTACCATGTGCCTTTCCAAATACTACTTTCACATCCTTGACCATATTGAGTACATCCTCACCAGTTCGGTTGCCCGGCTTGGTCTGGTGGTCTGCCTTACCTTTAAAATGCTTGCCTTTCTTTCTTAGAGGGTGATTCATAGGAAGAAATCGACGATGGCCAAGGTACATGACCTTTCGATATTTTTTCAAGAATATACCTTTAATGTCATCGAAACAGTGCGTGCATGCATTATATCCCTTGTTTGATTGTCCTGAAAAATTACTTAGAGCAGGCCAATCATTGATTGTTACGAACAACAATGCTCGTAGGTCAAAGTGCTCCTGTTTGTGCTCATCCCACACACATACACCTGGTCTGTTTCACAAAAGTAGAAGTTCTTCAACTAGTGGCCTCAGGTACACATCGATGTTGTTGCCAGGTTGCCTTGGGCCTTGGATGAGCACTGGCATCATAATAAACTTATGCTTCATGCATAACCAGGGAGGAAGGTTGTAGATACATAGAGTAACAGGCCAAGTGCTATGACTACTGCTCTGCTCCTCGAAAGGATTCATACCATCCGTACTTAAAGCAAACCTTAAGTTTCTTACGTCATTTGCAAACTCTGGGAATTCTCTATCGATTGCTCTCCACTGGGACCCATCAGCAGGGTGTCTCAACATATTATCTACCTTACGGTCTTCTTTGTGCCATCGCAATAACTTTGCATGGTCTTTGTTTCTGAACAGATGTTTCAAGCGTGGTATTATAGGAGCATACCACATAATCTTGGCAGGGATTTTCTTCGTGGGACATTCGCCCTCAACATCACCAGGGTCATCTCGCCTGATCTTATACCGCGATGCATGACATATCGGGCATGCATCTAACTTCTCGTACTCCTCGCCATGGTAGAGGATGCAGTCATTAGGACATGCATGTATCTTCTGGATTTCTAATCCCAAAGGGCAGACTACCTGTTTTGCTTCGTACGTAGTGACGGGCAATTCGTTATCCTTCGAAAGCATCTTTTTTTGGATTTTCAGTAACTCTCCAAATCCCTTGTCAGATACACCATTCTTTGCCTTCCATTGCAGCAATTCTAGTGTGGTACCCAACTTTTTCTGTCCCGCATCACAAGTTGGGTATAGCAATTTCTTGTGATCCTCTAGCATGCGCTCGAACTTGATCTTCTCCTTTTCACTTTCGCATTCTCCTTGTGCGTCACGAATGGCCTGGCCAAGATCATCAGTGGGCTCATCTTCTGCCACTACATCTTCTTCAGCTTTCCCCATTGCAGTATCATTGAAGGCACCATATTCAGCAATAATGTCATCATCGTCCCATTGTTCTTCTTCACCTTCTTCCATTACAACCCCAGTTTCTCCGTGCTTCGTCTAACAAATATAGTTTGGCATGAAACCCGACTTCAACAAGTGTAAATGAAGACTCCTTGAGCTAGCATATTCCTTCAAATTCTTACATATGGCACATGGGCAGCACATGAAACCATCGTGTTTGTTTGCCTCGGCCACACGTAAGAAAGAATGCACGCCCTCAATGAACTCTTGGGAGCGGCGATCAGCATTGTACATCCAATGCCGGTTCATCTGCATTACATGACATACATACCATATTAAAACCTAGAACACAATTAGTTAATTATACGACATGCATGCCACCACACAAGGTATTAATTTATGAAAGTCTCACTACAATGTAGACAATCCCAACTACCACTAAAAAAACTAAAGCTAAAATGCACTTCAGCAACATAAGGATTTTGCGACCAATCCCAACTAAATCAGACAAATCATGCGTTTGTTCAACATCTATGGGCATCTTCCGCAGGATCACTGCCTCATCAGCCGCCGTAGCCGCCTGTGCAAGAGAGTTTTGCACGTGTTCAACATACTCTTCCTCTCAGTGCCAGCCTGAACATCCAGTACCATCCCACTAAAATTAAAAAAAAAAATTAGAACTTTAATCACAATCATCAAGAAAATAAGTATAAATTAACCATAATCATCAAATGCGACAAAATAACTCACATTGCGATCCGGACACTTGTAGAAGATACGGCTCTTGTTGGGACACTCCTTCCTCACCCGGTACTCCATCACAATCTTCTTCTCACACTTGCCGCATGCAATGAGAGGAAGGTCCGGCCTCAGTCGCTTTGGAACCCGATGAGAGGCCGAGGACCCGAAAGCAGTTGACATCTACTCTCTATACTCATTTTTAATATAATATAAATTTCTCATTTTATAAACAAATAAAATTAAAAAAACTCTAAAATTCTCTATATCTCTAAACCATGAAGTGTGCTATGCATGCTAGAAATGAAAACTAAATACTAGTTTTGAATAACTACTTTAACCTTCCTTCATCCAAATATGCAAACTTTAAAGTGATTTTGAACTTAAATGGCTTATAAATAAAAAAAATCCACCATAAAAAACTACATATATCTAGTCCACAAAATGAGATATGCTACTGATGAAACATGAGAGTATAAAGTTGGTAACTTTTAGAACCAAAGAATCGAGGGAGGAATCGAAGAAATCTTGTGATTACATGCGATGAGGAAGAAGAGAGACCGGCGATGAAGCAAGAACACTGAGCTCGAAGTGGCTCGGGCTTGGGGAGGAAGAAGGGCTATATAGGAGGGGACCTTTAGTCCTGGTTAGAGACAGAAACCAGGACTAAAGGTCCCTTTCTAGTCCCGGACGGAGCCTCCAGCCGGGAGAAGACTTTTACTCCCGATTGGAGGGACCAACCGGGAGTAAAAGTTAACCTTTAGTCCCGGTTTGTAGCTCAAACCGGGAATAAAGGTCCCCTGCAGCAAAAGCCTGCCGCAGTAGCCATTAGATAGGGACATTTAGTCTCGGTTGGAGCTACAAACCAGGACTAAAGGTCTCTCTAGTCCCGGGCACGAAAAATACCGGGACTAAAGCCAAATTTCGAGCTTGATCAAAGGTCGTTTCTCTACTAGTGTGAAGGGTGTAGCCCCCGAGCGATCCTGGAGGGATCAGTCGGGGGTCCTTTGGTCAGGAACCTCTTAGGACTTAACATATCCCTATGTTATAATCTCATCACTACTATTGAAAACATGATTTCTATGTGTATTATCTACCTGATTTTACAATTATAGAAACTGTCCATAATGTCTAGTATTGAGACTATTATGATCTCGTCACTACTATTGAAAACATGATTTCTATGTGTATTATCCACCTGATTTTACAATTATATAAACTGTCCATAGTGTCTAGTATTGAGGCTACCCTAAAGTCTTAAAGCAATATTTTTTTTGTGGTTTGCGGATTTTGTTTATCGCATTCTCATAAGTCATAATCCCATTCAAAAGTCGTAACCGGACAGCTTATGCACGGTTGAAAGGCAAGTTCATTTGGTTGCCAAAAATAAATGGAAAATCTTGATAGCACAGTAAGAGTCTGCACAATCCTGTAGAGAGATTCGATCCACTGCAATACAATACAGTGCCCACCACGCCGCTGCTCTCTCCCTTGGGCGGTGGCAAAGCTTCCTGGGGCTTGTCGGCCTGCGTCGATCGATTGACAGATCACAGATGGATGCGTCAGCTCAGTCTCTTTCCTGCACTCACGCGGAGTACAGTACAGAACAGAAAAACGTCATCTCTCTTTTGTGTGTGCTGAGGCAGTGAGCCCTGAGCTTCCTCCCGCAGGCCGCGCGCCCTCACTCTTGTTCCCGGCCACCCCAGTCCCCAGCCCTTCCTCTCTCGTGCTAGCAGCAGTGCTTACAGCCGGTAAGGGTGAGGCCTTTCAGGCTGTCACTCCTCTCGATCCCAGCTCGAGGTTGGCTGCTGGCATTTGTTTCTGCCTTCTCGTCCTCCTTTGGCTACCCGGTCGGCAAGCAGAGGTGTGCAAACACTCGAGATTTATTTTGTGCACTGCGCACATGGTAAATACATATGTTCGATTTCTTTTTTTTCGGGGGGAGGCGGGCAGCCAAGTTTAATCGAACTCCCAGGAAGATGAAGATTGGATATACTTTATCAAATATATCACATATAAAGTCATGGTTTCATATTTTTCATTACAAGCAAAAGTATTCATAGAAACTAACCTTTTTCATTTTAGTCTTACTCTGCGTGTCTTCACATCATAGAAATTATCAGTAAATGTATCAGTTGTGAACTCAATTGCAATCTCCTTCTCAGTGTATATTATCAAGCAATCTCTCAAAAATTCATCTCCCATTTTATTTCGAAGTCTTGTTTTCACAAGTTTCATTGCAGAAAATGCCCGCTATGACGTAGCTGTCAAAACTGGTAGAGTTAGAACAAGCCGAATCAATCTGTCAAAGAAAAAAAATCTTAGTATTTGCCATCTATAAAAATGATTTGGAATAATAGATAAAAAAAATGAGGGATGTTATACAACCTGTCAATCAAATAATAGTCATTTGATTTTCTAGTTTCAGCTAGTCGACGGCATAGATCAGCAATAGTTGATAAATTCTAGAACTCTGGATTTGCAAGGACATCAAGCTCATAATGTTGTAATTGATGTCTCAAGTTATTTCTTTCTTGTTCAGAAAATCAGTAGGATAGAACTTTGAAGCTAGCAGGCAAATATCATCAATTTTGAACGATCTAAATGAATCTCTAGGATCCAAAGATGTACACAAAACGAGAAGCTCTGTGGCTTGTTCACTGAACCTGCTATTTAACTCATGTAATTGTTGATCAATAGCAACTGTGAAAATGTCATATTTGTAGTGATGCTCAACTGATAGCTCATTCTCAGCACGAGATCGAATATAGTCCGCATAGAAGGCATTCATATTTGGCACTTGTATTCCTTGTTTTATGCAAAATGATGTCACATCATTAAGAAGGGCACTCCAGCCACGATCACTTAAACTTTGGATCAATTTCTTGGTAGTGGCCACATCATCCATAACATTGACAATATCCTGAGTTTTTTGCTGTAGCTTTTTGCAAAGTAGGTCCGTGATGCCCATGAGTTCTTTCATAACATGCAAAATAAAAACAAAGTCAAATGACATCATTAATTTAACAGCACCAGCAGCCTTTGCTCGTCCAGCAAGTGTGCTTCCTGAACCTTTAGCAGTAGCAATATCTTTCAATACTAGAAATGTAGGCTTGTAAAGCTTTAAAAGACTACAAATTGAATCATAATGTGAGCTCCATCTAGTATCCTCAGGATGATGTAAGGTTCTAATCTGATTAGCACCACTTCCAGTTTCAAGCTCATTAAGTTCAATTAGATGCTCCATTTCAGCAACTTGATTGTCATGAAGGTCATCATTTCTCTTAGTGGAGGACACAACAGTGACAACAACAGCAAGATGTTCAAAAAAATTATGAACCTCAATTACTTCTTTGGATGCAGCAACAAGAGCTAACTGTAATTGATGGACAAAGCGATGAACATAATATGCATAAGGACACTGTTCCATAAACTTTGCTTGGAGTCCATTCCACTCTCCTCTCATGTTACTAGCACCATCATAACCTTGTCCACGAATATTTTGGACATCCAAATTATGGGCAGATAAAACAGAGCATATTTCTTGTTTTAGAGTTGCAGAGTTTGTATCATGAACATGCACAAGATCCAAAAAACATTCTCGGACAAAGCCTTCTTTGCCAACAAAACGAATAACAACTGCCATTTGTTCTTTTCTGGACTCATCTCTTGATTCATCAACAATCAAGCAAAACTTAGCATCACCTATTTCATTATGAATGGATGTTTGCACATTACTAGCCATAAGGTCCAAGATTTCTTTCTGAATCTGTGGTGATGTGTATTTAGCATTCAATGGAGCATTATCCAGTACCACAACCTTTACCTTATCATCATAAGAAGCTAGAAGTTTTACCATCTCAAGAAAATTACCTTGGTTTTTTGAGTCAACAAATTCATCGTAACAAGCCTGGAATGCTAACCATCGGACTGCATCAATTGATGTTCGAAGACGGAGTCTATTCTTTTTTATTTCTTTATTTGTTTGCTTCTCCACTGCATGTACAATATGGCATGGTTGATTCTTTAAATTCTCATAACACTGAACATTGTATTTATGAGCTGAATCACAATCTTTTCCCATGTGAATCATGAAGGCACAGTTTGATCTATCATTGACTTTCTTCCAACTTCTAAATCCTTTCACTATGAATGCATTAGATCCTATTTTTCCAACTGGTTTCTTTGAAAATAGGAAGCATGGAAAACAAAAGGCGACATCTTTTGTAGGTGAATACTCTAACCAAGGAAAAGATTTGAACCAATTAGACTGAAATCTGCGTGGATGTTTCTTCGAACCTGAAGTAGGGTACACATCTTTAATAAATTGGTACGGACCGTGCTTCATATATGCTCTAATAACTTGGTCTTGTTCATGTGGAGGATAATCCCAAATTTGGCAACACAGGCCTGGATCACGCTCTACCATTATAACACTAGTACCTTCACAATTAACTCTCTGAACTTTAGCTGTTGTTTGCCTTGGAGTCTCCTCTGCTACCTCTTCATCTTTTTCATCCTCTTCTTGTTGTGCAGCAAGCCAATTAGCAATTTCATCTTCAGGTGTCTCTTCGTCAGAACAAATAACACCAACGTTCTTCTTGTAAAAAGAATCTAGTGTCCTCTTTCTGAGTACCATGATTATCCTTCAGAAAAATAATTTTCAAATACTCCAAATTAGAATATACAAAAATATTTGTAGCTTCTAGTTCTATAGAGTATAGGCTACAGCCTACTGCCTACATGAACTAAATAAAAGTGATTAACCAAACAAGATTATTTTACAAAGTATAGCTAAGTTACCTGGATCAACTGATTGCTTGATTAGGTCTTCATGGCCTGGCCTCCTGGAGACTGGAGTCCTGGCCGCTGGCCTGTGGGCTCCCCGCTCCCCGATCTATCTCGTGGACTTGTCACTCTTGGCCTTGGCCCTGGGCGCTTCCGGCAGCTCTCCGTGGCTCCGCGCTTGGCTGGGAAGGAAGACTGAAGAGACCACCAGGGCCAGGGTTAGGGATTTTTATTTTCGGTGAATTGGAAGACGAGGTCGAGGAGGCTAGGCGCGCGCAGAGCTGGCGATTCGGCGAAGGGCTCTCCGCTATGCGTGTGAATATCCTGTGAGGCCGTGACGAGCTCTGCGTGTGTGCTTTCCTGGCTTCCTGCATTGATGGCCGGATGGCCCAGGCCCCCACGAGTCCACGACACTAGCTAAATGGCCCAAATAAAATAATGGAAGCCCATGTATGTCTGTATAAATTAGTAAAAGCAAACAACATCAAGTTAATTACACTCAACTACAGCATAGGCGTTAAAATTTTCAGCAGTGTTGTGTGTGTGTGTGGTGGGGGGGCTCCGCCATTGCAGGCAAGAGATTTAATTAGAGAGGATACGTGCATGCTGTACCGGTGTTAAGGTACTTACACTCATCAAGGCTTAGACCCGATGCAAATTGGTGGGATGAGCAAGAGGAGGAAGAAGAGTCCTCCGGACTACAATGATAGTCCATGGCCACTCCCCATGATATGGTATGCTGTCATTTCCATCGTTTGCTTCTTTCTTACATTAGAACATATAAAGAACTATATATATAATACTTTTAAATTAATTATAACTAGTAGCCGGTGTGATCGGTACAGTTATTTTTTTTATTGAGGTATAATAATGTAGCTCATTTCAATTAGTTAACTTACACTCGGTTTAGCTTATGGTCTTCACATGATACAAGCTTATTAGCCTTGCTTTATACTTCAAGTACATTTTATTTGTTGAGTCCATCTCACAATAAAGAACAATACATAACTGAACCAATGAATTTTGTACGTACATTATAATCCTTGATTCACGAAAAGGACAATAGATACATGATTTCTTGCTGCCCTTTTTTTTCTGATAGATACAGAGGTGGGGGTCATTTATTCCTACCTTTTATGAGTTGTCAACCAATTAACAAAAATAGATATAACATGGTGGTTTATGTTGTTTCTACTACTTTGTTTCTTTCACATAAATAATTATAGCACATTCTAATTAATCATAATAAGAACACGAGATATAGTGGTGTAATTTATGATTGATTAATATACCAATTATTTGTCACTTATTATCCTTTGTCTAACTGTTTTATATTTTCTTATATCACAAGGGTCTTGTTCGGACTGGATGTTGTTGGAAAACAAGGCTGGGACGCATTTTTCTCAGTCAAGCTACATTTCCTACGACAACAAGGCTGAAGTGATGCCCTTCTAGGCTTAGTCCCACCATCTACTTCATCTTATTCTTCGGCAGATGGCTTGTTCAGATCAAACAACTCGGCTCCTTCGTCATCTGGTGCTGTGTTTAAGTCTACCTCCATAGAGGTGAATGGTTGAAGTGGAAGGTAAATGGTCCAAGTCTATGTCCATGGAGGTGAATGGCTCAACTGGAAGATGAATGGTCTAAGCTGAAGTTGTGGGCAGTGACTTAGTTAGCACAGAAGTGAAAAGGGCTCCTGATTCAAATCAGTTTCAATTTTTAAGCTTTGCCTTTTGTCTGTAAAAGAAAAGAGCTGCTTTTGAATGCTTCCTCATTAGTTTAAGTAGCGAAAAGTTGGTGTACAATTTTTAAGGTGTGTGCATACGTAGGATTGACACTAATGTATGAACATTTATTGAAGAATGGTGCGGTACCACTTGGAATGATTAGGGCCTGTTTGGTTTTCATAAGTCAGGTGACTTATTAAGTTAGGTGGCTGAAAACCAGTGACTTATAAGTCATGTCTGTTTGGTTGTAGATGACTTATAAGTTTATTAAAGGTGTGGGCCCTACGTGGAAAAGGGTGGCTTATAAGTTTTAAGCAGGGGTGAACTAGCTTATTTTCTATAAGCATGGGTGACTTATAAGTTGGTGGTGTTTGACAAAATAAATCACTTATTTTACTTTTTAACTTATAAGTAGGTGACTTATTTGAAACAAACGTGCCCTGGGGTACCCGGGTCTTTTTTTTTCAAGCTCGTATGATCGCCCAACTCTAAAACGTTAGTAATATTGGGAAGAAGGGAGTACAACGCAGTGCACCATGCTGCACGCTTTGGGAATTGGTAGGTTTGGCATCGAGTGCATGTAGGCATGCTGGCGACGAGTCCGCTCAAAGAAAAAAATGCACTAGCATACGGAGTAGGAGTACTGCTAATTAGGCGTGTTTGGTTTTTCCTATTGATCAAGTGCAGTAAAGATCTCACGAGAACATTACCTCAGCTCTTCATGTGGACCCCATTTAAAACATGTCTTGGCTATGCCTTCTGCTCACGTCCCAAACTGTCCAACACCACGTAAAAAACGATTTTTAGCAACGGTTCGAATTTTCTGTAGGGGCGGCTGGTGATGGAGCCGCCCTACAGTGGCGTGCTCGTGTGTCCAGACACCAGCCGCCCCTACAAATTAAACAGCAGGGGCGGCTGGTGATACGAGCCGCCCATACAAATGGGGTCTAATTTATAGGGGCGCCTCAATCACCGGCCGCCCCTAGAGTTGCTATTTGTAGGGGCAGCTCAATCACCAGCTGCCCCTACAAATGACCCACATATAAAACAACTGCAGCACCTTCTACCTCCTCGGGTCACTCACTCCAACCCGTAAAAAAAAAGATGGAAAGGCCTTGGGCATCTCCCAAAAATTACTCTACTAAGAGGGAAGATTTTGGTCTCAAATCCTTTGGTGGAGAGGTCGTAGAAGGTAAGAAAATGATATTTCATATTTTTTTTGAAGTTTTAATGGTTGGTTAGTGAGTTATTGGAGTTTTGTTTTTCTCTCTCTTCTATGGTGCTTGAGCTACTTATGAAGCAAAACCCACGTTTTAAATGTACTAGGGTAAATTAGGGAGGGGAACAAAGATCATACCCTTATTTGGTCCATATTTCTTGATTTTAGTGAACAATTAGTTAGTTTTATGGATATTTCATGTGTATGTGGATCTAGATCTAGGGTTTGGTTTTTTTATTAATTTCATTTTTGTAAATTTATGTTTGATGAAATTGGACTAGGGTTTGTATGAAAGATATTGGGTAAAGTATAATTGTTGCTAATTGTTGTCTTTAAAATTGTTTATTGTAATCAATAAATATGTATTTTAATTATTTATGGATAAATGGACCATTAATTATTTTTCCTTTATCATGGTGTGTTTGTATGCTTTATGTAATTATATTAGATTTATATTCATATATATCTGAAGTATATACAATTATTCTCAAGTAATTATTAATTTGTTTTATTTTTATATATATCTGAATAAGTAGTCCTTTAATATTTGTTTTGTTGTTGTTGTAAAAGATGGAGTACAAGAACTTTTGGATGTATGGTTCATTAAGGTTCAAGGCAGGTTTCCGTGAAGAAGTGGATAAATTTATTGAAGCCGCAACGAAGCATGCAACGACATTGAAAGAGAATAAAGATACAATTATTTACCCATATAAAGATTGCAAGAACCATATGGCATGGACAGATGTGACTATCATCATATCACATTTGATTATGCGAGGATTTGTTGAGGACTACACAGTGTGGATTCATCATAGTGAAATGGTTATTGTTAACGACAAGGATGAGGACGAATATGACGATGAAACCATAGAATCCTTGTCCCAATATTCAGCAGAGCTTGATGCACGAAGGGATTTCGAGTTTGGCAATAAACAAGGTGGTGATGCTGGTGGTTGGGATGGTAACGACGAAGGTGGTGCCAATAATGATGGTGGAGCACGTGTCGGGGATGAAGATGATTTGGAGGACATGATTCGAGCCCTTGGACTAGAGATTTTACTAAATAGCCCAAAAGGTCTAGAAAATTTGGAAAGGGTGACAAAAACATCGAAGAAGACTGTGTATGATGTTGAAAAGGGCTATCCGATACATTGGATATTGCTACGTTTTGTGCTTGAGCTGCTCATCCTGAAGGCTAAGTACGGCTGGTCAGACTGTAGTTTTAATGATCTATTGCATCTCCTGTCATGGGTGCTGCCACAACCAAACTCAGTTCCCGCCAACACATACCAAGCGAAGAAGGTCATAAGTCCATTGATATTGGGGGTTGAAAAAATCCATGCATGCATCAACCACTGTATACTTTTTCGTGGCGAAACGTTCAAGTTACTGGATAAATGTCCCTGGTGTGGGGCCAGCCGATACAAGAATAATGACCTTTACGGTGGGGACGAAGCCTCCACGGGGAAAAAGAGGAATAAAAAGGATACAAAAAAGGTGGTACAAGAATCTCAGCCCCCAGAGGACACTCCATTAGGCAACGATGCAAAACAGAGAAGAATTCCTGCCTTGGTAATGTGGTACCTGCCAGTGACCGACCGCTTGAGACGTATCTTCCTAAACCCTAAAGAAGCCGCACTCATGACATGGTGGGATGATGAGCGCAAGGTGGATGATGATAAGATTGCACACCCAACTAATTGTAGTTAGTGGCAAAGGTTTGATGAGAAGCACAAAGAATTCAACGATGATCCAAGGAATGTACGGTTTGGCTTGAGCACCGATGGAATGAATCCCTTCAATGAGAGGATGAGCGACCACAGCACATGGCCAGTGATCTTGACCATGTACAACATCCCAACATGGTTGTGTCAGAAGAGAAAGTACCTTCTCCTCATTATTCTT